GGCAATCATTTTTTTTTTTTTTTTTTGAAGATTATTTCAAATTTCAAGTTTTAATGAAAGAAATTTTTTTTCCTATTTTAATTCCCATTTAAATACTGCACGCAATTTTTATTCATCAAAAAATAATTATTTTATAAAAATATTTTCAGGAAAAAAAAGAAAATTAAACTTACAAGAAGTAAATCGATAATAATGGACCAATTTAAACATAATGAAAAGACTGTCAAAAAGATAAACATCTGAAAATGAAATCAAAAAAAAATTCTTAACAATATTTTTTTTTTCAATGTTGAATAACAAAAATTAAATAACTTAGGTTAAAGATCAAAAAAAAAAATAGTTTGTTGAAGTAAAAGTTTAAAATTTGAAAATCTTATGACAAATAATACTATGTAAATTAATCAAAATAAGTTCATTAGAAAGATATGATGGTAAAGTTAATTCAGATGGTAGGAATGAAAGTTAAAATTCATTCCTACCTTAATTTGAAAAAAAAAACTCTTTAATTAAATCTAAAAGTTATTATTGTAAAGTGCTAAAATTATAAGAACAAATAAAACTGATGCAAGAGTTGAAAGGTTAGAGTTCATATTTATTCTTATCTTAACTTTGAAAAAAAAAACTCTTTAATTAAATCTAATAGTTATCATTGTAAACTGCTAAAATTATAAGGATTAAATGAAATTAATTGAATGCTTAACATTGATTAACTAAATTATTCATCTAATTACTTTTAAATAAACAATCCGTTAATATCAATCAAATTTAATCTTGACTATCCTTAACACTTGACAACTCGTTTTGTCCTGAGATTTCTCAATGAAAATGAATATTTATCATTCCTGAGATTTCTCAATGAAAAATATTTTTATCATTCATTAATACTATGACATTAGAAGCATGAATAATTTAAATGAAAATAAAATATATAAAATTTTTTTGAAACCCAAGCAAGAGTGATATTTGTAGCGCATATGTGAAGACCAATAAAAAGAAATGGTATAGCAAATAATGAACCAATTGCGCATACTAAAGGATCGGAACGAACTGTTTTAATTGGTTTAAAGCACCATTTACCATGTGACCATAACTAAAAATTATCATATCAATTGATAATTTTGTTTAACATTTAAAAATCAAATTAACTAACTATTTAAACTTTAAACGATTTAATTTAATAATTAATAAATTTTTTAAATTAAATAATATTTAAACATCTAGAATGGTATATTTTTCCTTTTAGTCATTGAAATTTTAAGAAATTTAATTGTTTGATTTTAACAAATAATGAATAAAGCTTTCAGTTCGGTTCTTTTTTTCATTTCTTTTAATTTCAAAATTTTGATTGGTTAAAATAAATGGATATGATGAAATGGGATATATAAAGAAAGCAATATTAAATTAACAATATCATTAGGATGTAGAAATAATTCAATGATAACATTAGTTTAACATTTAACATCAAATTAAATCAATTATTTATACTTAATTTACTTTGATTAAATTAAATCAATTATTTATACTTAATTTAATTTGAAAATTTATAAAATTTTAATTATGCAAATTATAAAATTCGGATCATATACTATTCAAATATCTAAAATGAAAAAAGTTTTTCGATTTTTACATACTGAACATTAATTGTTGTAATCATTATCGAGTTGAAGTTAAACATTTACAGTAATTTGTAACTTAGCATTGATCGATTTTTTTTCTTTAATATCATATTTTAAAACAAACCTGTGATAACATTGTTCCAGCTGAAACACCCAAAATTCCACCAACTACTGTTACAATACCAAAACTGAGTGATATACTGAAATATTGTCAACATTTTTTGTCAAAAAATTTTTCGCCTCATTGAATAAATTTCCTAATACATTCATATGTGATGTTATTAAATAAATGTTTACATAATTAATTGATTAAAGATTTAATTGGCGCATTAGTTTGTGTGGAATTTTTTTGGAGAATTTGGGCAATGAAATATGCTATAATAGTAATGACGATAATAATATTAATAATAATAATAATAATAATAATAATAATAATAATAATAATAATAATAATAATAATAATAATAATAATAATAATAATAATAATAATAATAATAATAATAATAATAATAATAATAATAATAATAATAATAATAATAATAATAACAAAATAATAATAGTAATAATAATAATAATAGTAATAACAATGATAATAATAGCAATAACAATGATAACAGTGATAATGATTATAATTACAATTATAATCATAATAATAATAATTTCGTCGGATAATTCTTTCCAAATGTTGCAATTACTACCTCATATCTTCCATATTTCATATCTTATCAATATTTATATCTATTAATTTCTATCTTATCATTTGACAAATTTTATCTTATCCTTCCTCAATAGGTCAATTTATC